CTGAATACCTGCTCGGGCTCAGCGACGAAGTCGCCCACCAACGCCGAAGCACCAGCAAGCTCCACGCGCTCGACGCAGGGCGGCCCCCCAGAGCAGCGCCAGGTTCTGGGCCCAGCTGGCGCCAGTTTCCGGGCCCAGCCGGGCCTGGCTAGCGCCGGCGCGCGCGCCTGCCAACCTGGCGAGCCCGAGCCAGCGCGAACCGCGATGACGCGCGCGGGCCCAACGCGGCCGTCTGGCGCGACAGGCCCGCAAGTAACACGCATACCCGATCGCGCGAGGACAGCCACTCCACCGCGCCGCCGCCGACAGACCCTGCAAGAAGTCGCGCGCCCGCCCGGCCGCCATCATGGGCGGCTGCTTGCACCCCGTCGCCCATGCAATTGAAGGCGCGGCGCCCCTACTCGACGACCGGCGCAGCGGGGAACTCGCGCTCTGCATGGCCTCCAAGATGCTGCAGCAAAGATTCGTGAGAAAGGGCCATTGCGGTCGCGATCTCGTCGGTTCCATGCTTATACCGCTGACCTGAGGCCGCCTCGGCGCAGGCGCAAGAAGCGCCGCCCGAGGCGCGCCGGCGCGCCCGTTCGCTTGCGCCCTCCGCCGCGTCGCTGAACGCTTCGGCGATCATGTCGTCGAGGCGATGTCCTCCTCGTCGAGCGTCGGCTTGCAGCGCGCGCCGCGGGCGCGCTCGCTGCGCCCCTGCCGCGAGGCGTCGCGGCCCTCGTCGCGGTTCTGCTGCCGGGGCCGCGCGGCCACCCTTCTGCGCTCGACTAGGCGCTGCCTGCAGGCGACAGCGCTCTCGCTTACAAGCCTCGCGAATCGCGGCCGCCCGCTCAGCGCCAGCGCGCTCATCGGGGGGGGGGCAAGCGCCCCCTGCGCAGCGCCCCCCGTCGTCACGTCGAAGTCTGGGATGTTCTCCGCTCCGGCGGGCTGCGCCCATGCTGCCTCCGCCTCGGCAGGTGGCGGAGACTGGGCGGCTCAGGGCGTTCAAGGCGGCGCAGCGCCGCCTCCTTGCCCGCGGCCATTCGGGCCAGCCACCGCAATAACTGCCGTTGGCCCGCGCGCCCCGCGCCGCTCCTCCACGCCGCGGAACGAGACAGACGCGGCCGCGGAGCTCAGCGCGAAAAGTCGCCCCCAGCACCGGCGCCCAGCACGTCTGCGCCGCGGCGCCGAACGAACAGCAAGGCGCGCTGAGAGCAGCCGCAGTCTCAGGGGCCCGGCGCCTGCGACCGCAGCGGCTCGATCTGCGCCTGCGATGAGCCCATGAGCGCGATCTCCTTGGCAGCCAGCGCGGACGAGGACTGGTCGATGTCTTTCTGCAGCTCTGTCAAGAGGAACTTCTTGGCGTCAGGAGCGGCTGCCGCTTTGGCGACCGCACTGGTCGCCTTGCTGTGCTCGTTACCCAATTCGCGCAAGTGCGCGCGCAACGACTTGGCCTGCCGAGCTTTTGCAAAGAACGTGTCACGCTCTGCAGTTGGCAGCTGGATGGTGGCGGCCACCTCTGGGTGGTTCGTGAACTTAAGACGGCCGTCGATCTGCGCGGCGACCGCGCCGAGCATGCTGTGCACAGGGAAACCCCGCATCAGCTGCCGCAGCGGGGGCCGCGCAGCCACGTCGACATTAGTTGCTGGACGCTGCCTGCAGCGATTGGCCGTTATTCTCCATGTCCGCGAGCTTGCGCCCCTGGACCGCCAGCTTGCCCCCGGCCCAAACTCTTCAAACCGGCGCAGCTCCAGCCTTGCCGCCCGCGGACGCCGACGGCGCCGCAAGCTCCACGCCGCGCAGGGAAACAACGGCCTTTGGACGGCGGCGCTCAACCGCGCGCGCCAGCATGTCAATGTGATTCCAGACGCCCTTGCTAGTGGTGC